GCCCTTTCTGCTTCCTGCCTGTCCTGCTGCTTGTGGCAAGGATGCCGGGGATGCCACGAGCCCCTCCTCTGCCTGCCCAGGCACAGGCATCACAAATCACAGCCTCCCAGCCCAAAAGGAGATGAAAAGGGGAATCTGATTGCCTAGATGGGAAATTGGCCAGGGACTGGGGAGGGTAAGAAAAACTTCACATGGCAATCCAAACCCAAGCAGCTTACAGGAGCACAGGCACTTCCTGGCCACTCCCTGCATGGGGGCATGAGCAGCACCCTGCCTGCTGGCTGGGGTCCCTGGGGGGCCCCCGGTGTGCTAGGTGCACCCACATCATCTCTTGGCTTGGTGATGCTGGGTATGGCCCAAGTGAATAAAACCTGCTTCAGCCTAGAAGAGAACAAGTGAGACTGATCCTCCAGTCTGGAGTGAGACAAAAAACCCCAGGGAAATCCCCAAGGACCATGTGGAGGCAGTTTGGTGAGGAGAAACTGCTCCTGTTTGGGAAAGGATGCTCCTGTCTTTGGCTTGTTTACAGACCAGTGGATTTTACAGCCCCGAAGCATGCATCATCTGCTGGCTGGCAGCACACAGCTCTCAGAGCCGTATCATTTTAAAATCCACCCTGAGGATAACCACGGGTTCTGTTGGAAAAGTCCTGATATTTAGTAGTTCTTTGGAAAAGAGATAATCCTGCCAAAACAGCAGGTATCCAAAATAGCCCTAGAGGCAAGAAGCCTGACCTTCACACCCTTCAAGGTGTTCAATCCAGGAGGAGCCATAAAGATGCCCCCCTCAGAGATCTGAGATGCATGTCAACATAACTGCCTCATCAGCCAGAGGAAAACAAACACCCAGGTGACCCTGGGGAGAAAGGTTTGTCCACACCCGGATGCGGGACACCTTGTCAAAGTCTCACAGCACGGGTTTTACCTCCGTCGCTTCATTAATGATGCCTGGTCTGGGGGCTCAGCCTTACTCCTCATTTGCAAAGTGGGTGGGGGAAGTGGGGAGGCAACCCTGGCTTCTGGGAGTAAGAACAGGGACACCAACCCTGGCTTCTGGGAGCAAGAAGAGGGACACTTGCAGTCGGTCACCTCCTTGATTTGATAAAACACTGCCGTCTCATCCTGCTCCATCCTGCTTCCCCACGCTCCCAGCCTGGAGCAACATGCTGCGAGGACTCCTGCAGATCTGGATTTTAATTGGAAAGAGACAGTAACAGAGGGAAAAAGGTGGTGGTGGTGGGATATAAAGTGCAGCTGGGTGGATTAGGCTGCAAGGGAATCAAGGAATTACTGATGCTTTAGCAGCTTGAAATTTGCCAGTGCAGAGATGGAGCTTTGAAGATGCTCTTGGCAAGCGCAGGGAAAAGACAGCCTGTGGAGCCAATGCCACCTGCTGGGGACAGCACTCGGAGGCTGAGATCCACAGTACCGGTTAAACAGATGTTTTTTAGTCGTACTTGCACCCAAACATCCCTCTTCTGCAGGTTGAAAACGGAAGCCCATGCCTGGGGGGGTGGCAGAGACCTCGGACACCCGCAAGCACAATCACTCTGCCATCCCAGGGAAGGTTTCCTTCTCCCCAGGTTCCCAGTTTCCTTTCCCCATTTGCCTTATCTGATGGCTAATTATAATTCCAGAGGTAATTGCTGGAAGAGCAATATGGGATCCATAAACCGCTAATGCTGGAGGATTTTTTTCCAAAGAATCAAAATACCAGAGAAGTCCTATATGTTATTGTTGTTGTTATTGCTGTGATTATCGCTGCGGTAATAGCAGCCAAAATCGCTAAATCAGGTTGGAGAAGCCGTTATTGCTGCGCAGACACGAAGACAAAGTTATCGTCCCTGAAACCGATCCAGTCTAAGAGGTTTTTAATTGGGAGGGGATAATATGTTCACTCACTCTGATGAGAGAGATGCAAAATAAACCCAGACCTAAGGGGAGGGAAGGAGGAAGGAGGTCTCCGTGCAGAGACCTCCACGAAGGGATGAACTGGGGAGCAGCCGCTGCTGGGGCAGCAGATACGAGTGGGGCTCAACGCTTCTGCAGGCGTGTACATGTCGGTTATCTAATAAGCCATCCTTTAGGCTCCAGTGACACTGCTACTTATAAATTCAGCGATCTTCCCTTTACTGGTCATTAATCTGCTTCGTTTCATGACAATTTTATACTCTTTTGATAAACTGTTTGTCTAACCGCTTGGAAGAAACAATGTCAAAAGCTGTACCTTAGGCGTTCGCCCAACTAATGAAGAAAATCCATCACCAGGAGAGTTTATCTATTGCCTTGCTGGATGTAAATAAAACGGCCGGCTAATTTACTTCCATTAATCTTAAAAGCTGTTGCTACAATGATAGTCCTATGTTGGAGTGGACTTTTTCCCCCTTCTCCGCATAAATATTTAAGCAAGTACTGAAAGCATAAATAAATTGCTTTCTAAAAGCCAGATTATTTTTATAGCCAGCGATTTACCAATAAATTTGGATTTACTTCCTAGCTCTTGCCTTGCAGGCAGCAGCCGGCCCATGCTTCCCCCGTGTGGGCATGGAACCACTTGGGCAGTTTTTGCCGAGCATCTTGTGGGGTCACTGAGTTCCACCCCTGAATCCCACCCCGCTGGTGTCAGACCAGGCCAGTGTGTGGGTTCAGCGGGTGCTCGGGCTGCTCTGCAAGGTCTGTATGGGGATGCCACAAAGGCTTTTTGGTGTCCTGTGGCTGCAACGGGCAGCTCAAGAAGCGTAAATGCAGCAAAAGAGCATTTAGTTTATGAAGGGTGAGGCCAGCAAAGCGCTGGAGTGGGCTGCCAGGGAGCGTTCGGGGGTCAGCAGCTTTGGGGTGGGCTTAAGAACAGGTGGGATTGCTCCTGAGATGAGATCTTGTTTATCAAGCACGGCCCTGACTGAACTTCTTTAACTATGTCATACACCCATAAAAATAAGTTTATCGTAGGAAATATGACACATTCATAGCTGGAGCAAACCAACCCCAACGCTACGTGGCAAAGGCTGCAACGGCCGGAGCAGTCCATGGGATTTCTCTGAAGGGCTGTGACCACAATCCGGAGCCTGTGCGCTTTGCTGGCTACGTAGACAAACCCATGGAAAAAATGACTAATTAGAGGAGATTAATGATCAGTCTCAGCAAGATCATGGCTTTTGCTTCTCTCATTTATCCACATGTGGCTCTTTGTTAAATCAAGAGCAGTTTTTATTCCTACGCGTAACTGCTTACAGACATTCCGGTCTGCGTGTAGCCAGCAAACTCACACGTTACAACTGAGGAAATGAAAATAAACCTAGAACAATCCCCACCACCTTGTGCAACGTTAAGGTCAAGCAGATGCAACCCGGGGCAAGAGATGCGACGGGAGGAAAGACAAAGGTTGCTGTTCCAGCAGAGCCAAGGCAACAGCTCTGGCCACTGTGCAGTGCCCCACCTTCGTCCCGCTGAGAACTTGGCTTACGTGGGATGAAAACCTCTCTTTTAATGCAATTTCTCATTTTAATGAGAAAAACAAGACTATGACTGATGCTACACATCTAACTAATCGTCTTGTTACCACGTAGCGTTTCACAGCTTATTTTCTGGATTTAATTATGTTACATTATTAGTCTCGTTTACTCATAGAAGGCTGTGCTTACGCACGATTTTTGACAGGACCCAGGATGAGTTATTTTGTTGTCGTCTATGTTTAAAGGCTAAGCTCACCTCCCAGTAGTGAATCCCCAGAATTTGGGCTTTAGCAGGGCTTCTCCGACAGTCATCCATCCCACGGAGTGGCAAACAGGGTACTAGCTCACAGGGCGGGGAGAGTGCTGGGGTGAGGCAGTCCCAGGCTAACTGGAGAGCAGGACTTCAGGAAGATGCTGCTGGCACTTTGGGTGCTGATGGGCTGATGCTGAGTGCCGACACCTTCTGAGAGCACTTGCGGTTGATGATTCGTCAGCCAAGCCTCACTCCATCTTCTCTTAAGCGAGAGGAAAAAAGGTCATTTCTTGTGGTTATCGGCATGGGCGTTGAAGTATCCCCTTGCAGGCTCTACAACTGACAAGACGCTGATGTGGCTGGAGCAGGGAAGGGATGAATGCCCACCCTTCCTGCCTTTCCCACTGCATGGGTGGCCAAGCCAGGGCAACGGGACAGCAGCACAGCACAGGGGCCCACGCCGGTCTCACCGAGACTTTCCAAGGCACGAGTGACCTGGGGTGCCTCAAGCATGGAGGTTCCACCTGTAATGCTGGAGAAATGGAGGTCAGATGCACCTTGACAGCAGCCCAGCCCTGCTGAGGCACGGCACATGGTACACGGGGATGGCACCACCGGCTCCGAAATGCAGCCATTGCCTGCGAGTCCAGGGTCCTGCCCGGCCCCAGCTTGGGCAGCGCTTTACACCTGCTCCCAGGCACACATCACCCCCTCCGTGGGGGTAAGGTGGCAACTTGTCCCTGCCTAAACCACTTAGAAAGCTGCCCTCTGCCTTCCCCCATGCTGTTCCAGCCTCTCTGTCTGTAATGTTTTGGAAACTGTGAAGACAGCATCACGAAGCGCAGTGCAAGCCATGAAAAGGCTGCCAGTCAGTTCCCCCCGCCTTCAGCAGTGGCTCTCATCCCTGCTTTAACCCTTCCCAAGGTCCCCACAGGCTGCTCACAGTCCAAGCCTCTAGTTTTGAAAGTTGCTGGGGGTGGGGAGTGAAGGCACCCAAAAAATGCTCATGGATGTGCCCCCACTGTAAATCCACGCCGAGACCGTTGTCTTGATAAACGCTGCTGAATGCCTTTCTCAAGCAGTTGTGGGTTGTTTAGGAGATGTCTACTCCTCCCTTTTCCTACTCCCTGTGATAATCTCTCCTTTTCCAGGGCATCCTCCAAGGAGAGGCAGGGAACACCTCTTGGAGAGCCAAGCACCTGCACGGGGTCTCACATCGCCCACGCCGCGGCGTGAGGCACATCCGTCACCGCCAGGATTGGCGAGGTGGGCACGCCGTGCCGGCTGGAGGTCGGCTCAGCGCAGCGAGTCCCCAGACACCGTCAGGTTGCGCTCCCGGATGTACCGCAGCAGGATGCGTGCCCGCCTGTCGATGGTCTGCAGCAGGGGTCTCAGGCCGTTCGCGCCGCCTTGGCTCTCCCAGAGCTCCCGATCCACACGCAGCGACTCCAGGAGCAGGCTCTGGAGCCTGCTGGACTGCAGTGTGGCCACCGCCACTGCTGGGAAGCTGCAGCCGAGGGGCAGAAGAGAAAGGGAGGGAAGGGGTTACCCAGGGAAGGCCGAGCAGGGATGGGGGGAGCAGCAGGGCACCCGAGCAAAGGCTACCCTGGTGCTTCAAGGAGAAATGCACATCCACCCAGAGGAACACGGGATGAGGAGCCTTCTGCTTAAAGCTCTGCCCATGGGGAGAGTGCAGGACATCTCCACCAGATCCACACGGACCCAAACGAGCTCTAAATCAAGGGCCAATAGCATGCCAAATGCCTGCTGGGCAATGATGCAAGAAATGCTGAAATACATGACTGTTATTTTTGTGCAGCTGCCAGTCAGGGAGGAGGAGATAGGTTTTGGACACAGCCATCAGCCACCCGGAGCAGGATGGAGACCCAGATTCAGTGCAGAGGTATGTGTGGCGGGGGTGCGAGCCCACCCACCTGCTCCGTCCTGGGTGGGAGATGGCCCCACTTCGCAGGGGTAGCCAGGGAAGGCCCAGAGGCACGCACGTAGGGCTGGTGTCCATCCCACACCGGGACGTATGCCTTGGAGGGTGCACATCGCCCTTCCTACCGGTCTATGCCTTGGAGGAGCCTGAAGTTGAGCTTCTCCTCAGGATGCTGTGGCCTGCCCGCATTGTCGATGAACACCAGACGGGACGGGGCGCTCCTCCGGACCTGCCAGTGGGACGGAAGGGAGAAGTTTGCTTACTGTGGGGAGTCACCAGTTTTGGTATTTAGGCTATTTTTTTTTAATGCGCTGACTAATCCTGAGAGCATGTAGGGGCCCACAGCTGCCAAAGCCCAGGTCCCTCCACACCCAGGCGCACCTCCCACCATGGACCCCATCACCATGGGACTTATATCCCCCTTGCTGCAACGTCACTCCTGTGAGGGTACCTTCACCATAGTCCCTGAGGAGCAGGGAGACATACCAGGATGTGGACCAGGACCAGCTCCGATGGGTTTCGGCACTTCTCATGGAGCCTCTCCTCCACGCAGGGCTCGGAGGGGTCGGGCTGAAATCCACAGCAGTAGCGGTCCAGGCGGTCGTGAACCTGCGGGAGACATTTGGGGACCTTAGTGGGGACAGGAACATGGGGCAGTTGTGAACTTTTCTTGCTCAGAGGAAAACAAAAATTTCTAAGAATCCTCAGGAGACATGAAATGGAAAAGCTGCATGTACCAGTGAGCGAGAGAGAGGCAGGGAAGAACTCAGAAGCTGAGCTGACTTGCAAAACCCCCTTGGTTTGGAGAAGAGACCAACAGAGGTGATGGTGACAGGCTTTCCTGCTGGAGCTCAGGCACCTTCTGTGCCCCGTACCTCCACACTCGCACAGAGTGAATGGGTTGTGCGCCCAGCAGAAACCAAGGGAAGACAAACATGGAGATGGAAAAGCTCTTCCCGGAGAGGGTGATGAGGCACAGGAACAGGTTGCCCAGAGAAGCTGTGGATGCCCCATCCCTGGAAGTGTTCAAGGCCAGGCTGGATGAAGCTTTGAGCAACCTGGTCTAGTGGAAGGTGTCCCTGCCCATGGCAGGGGGGTTGGAACTAGGTGGTCTTTAGGGCCCCTTCCAAACCAAACCATGCTGTGATTCTATGATTCTATGAATGTAAAAAAAACCCAAAAGCATGCAAGGAAACCTAGGTTTTGAAACCTCAGGAAGTGATATTTTTCTCAGGCTGAGTCTTGGTGCACTGGATGATGGTTTCATCTAGCTTCTGGCCCACATATACCCTTTCATCCATTCCTACTGGCAACCTAAGCAGTTCTCAATGGAAAGATGAAAGGAGAAGGATCAGCAAGGGGAAAAGCGATCTGTGAGTTATACAGAGCATGCTTGACATTTAAGTTAGGCCACTGTGACTTGTTTTAACTACATCTGTGTTTAATTACTTGGAGGCACTGCTAAGGCTCCATGCTGTCGCATCTGTCAACCCCAGTGCTGCTTGGCAGCTTCCAGGGTTTCACCCGCACCCTCAGCAGGTCGAGGGAGTTTTAAAAGAAATAAATCTCTGCCTGACCCAGCTTCAGTAATACTGCCTCGGTATTCATGAAGCTTCCTCGACCTTATCAGAAGAAGCTGGCGCATCTTCTGCAATGTCCTTTGGGGCAGACGGGACCTCGCTGGCTGTCGGCACACCTCCCCATGGCTGCGTGCTCCACGGCTGTGCAGGAGGGGCTGCTTCACCACCACCTGAGGCACGTTTGCCACATTACAATAAAAAACCAACACCATACATAGAGATAAAAATCTCCTTTAAATATATGTAAATGCACATCAAATAAATATATTTTCCAGCTAGAGTGCAAAGGCGTCTGACTTGCTTGTATGCTGAGGGTTGCTGGTGCCAACCCAGGAGCCAGGGCTTGGGGTGCAGAGAGGCTCCTGGAGCTGCCAGGAGGGCTGGAGCATGTCTCAGGTGAGCCCAGCGCGATCTACAGGTGATGACTAAATGGAAGCCAAGTGACCCACAGTAGCTGCTTATTCCCCTCACCCTAATAATCAGCAAAACTTATCAATTACAGGCTGTGCTTCAAGAGAGAGTTCAGTCTGAACCCAAACACTAATCAAGCACCGGAGAAGATGCTGCAGGAAACACCAAGTTTTATCTGTGTGGACATTATATTCATAACCCTTGGAGAAGCAAGATGAGTCCCACACTGGAGCCCTTTAACAAATCCCTCTGTTTCCTGAGGCTTAATGAAGCACAGCATTTCTCTGTTGGGAGACCCATCAGTTAAAAGTGCTGGAGCGTCTTTTGACATGAAACAGGTTGAAATGAAAAGAAAAGCCATTACATTTGCTCCACACACATCTTTGGTCTGCTGGAAAGATCAGCACACCGGTTTCTCTCACCTGCTATGCTGGTTTCCAGGCTGCACAGAAGGTGAAGACAACCTGAGATGATTTACAGAGACATTAAATGTGCTTGGCCTCTGTTCACCTGCCCGCCAGCACCTGGGAAACCAAGGCGGATCAGTGCTGGACCCACAGGGGTGTGAGGTGGAGGCTGGACCTGGCATCCAAATGGAGTCCCAGAAGATGGACCAGCTGGCTGTGGAGATGCTGAGTGCTGCTGACACGGTGATGAGCCCTCCCTCTCCCTGGCCCACCCTGGGCTGTTTATATTAAATTCTCCTCACCAGATCCTAACGTCCTCTAATGAATGGGATGTTAGGTCTTACTGCTGGAACCCAAATAAGTGAACCTCACCTTCCCCCATCCAAGCTCAAACCCTGTGAGAAGCTCCCCTCCACGCCCGCTTTGGTCCCACGTGAAGCTTGGCCACCCCAGACCATCCCCGTGGGTCTGACAGGGCTTTCCAGCTGTGACTCAGTCTGGGACAGCTTCCCCCAGTGAAAACTGCCTCGCTGGGAAGGATGTGACACAGGGAAGAGATGAGGCTGCAGATCTTTGGGGTTGATGTCTTTTTTGGCTCTCTTTAAAGCGAAGGGCAAAAACCATCAGCTGTTCCACTGGGCTTGGCGTTTGTCCTTCTGCAAAGGTTTGCACCGAGAGGGCTGTTCCCTTATGGCAAACACCATCAGAAATCCATATAGAAGCAGCCCAATTTTAAAGCTAATTGAAGAAAACAACGAAGATTTCAATGCCAAAGTACAGCAGGGCTCAAAGCTTACAGCTTCTTCTTCCCCAGCAAGGGCTGTGAGATGCTAAAGCCGTCTCTGAAGGATGCTATTTCACTTCTATGACATCCTGCTGACTTGGTCCACCTTTACCTTTATGTGACTTCTCCGCATAGAAGGATCCTGTCGGAGTTATTGAGGAAAACCTGTGGATTGCCCTTGAATTTATCATTGCACTGCTTTGGCCCTCTGAGGGAAAGTCTCCTTAAAACTAGATACTTTCTCCCGGACACTCAGGCTTTCCATTACACTCAACAGTGTTTTGGCCTGGGGAAGGGAAGGGGAGTGGTGAATCTTCTCATTTCTCTGGCTGTTTCAGCTAAAATATTTCGAAGCGCAGCCAGGACTGCTCCGCCTCTGCCAGCCATAGTCAAGTTCTAAAGATTATTGGTCAGGCTTCGCAAAACAAAACAAAACAAAAAAAACCCCACAAAACAAACAAACAAAAAACATAATAACGAGAACACATATTTTAATAGTGGGGTTTTTTCCTTTCTTTCTTCCTTCCTTTCTTCTTTTATTTTAATACTTGCCCTTTCAGGCAGTTTCCCCTTGTGTGGTAATCAAAAGCTCCAGCCCCAAGGTGCCTAAACAAGCTTTTTTTTCCATAGAAACCACTTTTGTCTCCTCACAGCTGCCCTCTAAGAAATGATAACTCTCTGGGATGCTGTCATAATCCCTCGCAGTGGCAGGGTATGATTTTCCAGACTGAAGATTAAGTACTATTAATCCCAAAGAGGAGGAGGAGGAGGAAAGCAGTGCTGTAGGAAGTGGCAGGGCTCCCGATTTCTAATGCCAGCAGTGCATCCCAGGAGGTAGATCTGATGTGGTTGGGGCAGAATATGCTGCTTGTCCCTAGGGATGCCCCATCCCAAGCTGCTACTGGCATCTGTGCCAAGTGGAGCCAATGGAGCTGTGCCAGGAGAAAGCTCGGCCACGTGCAGACTCACCACATCCGAATCCTGCCTGTGTTTCCCTGCAAGTCCCAAACACGGACCATGCTCTGACCAAACTGCTTCTGCACAAAGCTCTGCTGCTCCTCATTAGCTAACAAGTAAAAGGACCCCCAAGGAGCCGCAGCTTGTGCAGCCCTGTGGAGGAGAAGGAGAAGGCACAGGGGGACATGAGTGGCACAGTTGGTGGGACGAGTGGTCTCCATCACCCCAGCCCTACCTGGAGGAGAAAGTCGAAGAGGGCCAGGCGGCTCCACTCGCCTCGTGGGATGCTGGAGCAGGGACTGTCCCCGGCCGCCTGCACTGATCTGCTGGGCTGCAACATCTCCTGGTACTGCAGCCACCCCAGGGCGCAGGAGTTTTGGTCATTGTTGGCGTCCTCCAGGTGCCGAAGGTCAGGTGCCCACCAGATGATGGGCCGCAGGGAGCCATTGGTGTAGCT